CGGGAGCTTTGGCTTAGCGTGCCGCGGCGGCGGCCCCAGCGACACGCGATGCCCTGCAATCGCAAGGCGTGTCGTTCCGCTCCGCGGGCCGGGGGGCCGCCGTTACGGCGGACCGGGATATGGCCATTGCAGGAGGTGTTCACCCGCGCGCCCCGGCCTCCCCTCCGTCCTGCCGCAGCGCTTTAGATTGAACCCGTGAGGTGAAAAAGAAGCGTTCGTGACAGCTGTCGAGTCCCAGGCTTTCTACTCTCACAGGCGTCCTCGTCTTGTGTGCAAGTGTTGCCTCAACCACCTCGGGCAGGGGAGCTGGGCAAATTTGAGGACGTTGACGCGCGGGGGGAGGGACAGCGTATCGCGCTGCGGCGTGGTGGGCGAGAACTGGCAGAACGGCACGCGAGCCAAAAGTCTCCGACCGCAGACACGCTTGAATGGCCTTTACAAGCCAGACGAAGCCCGGGGTCGGGACGGATTGGGCCGCCAAGCGGAACTGACAGAGACCACGCTGGACTGGGAAGGCTCTCGACCACGGATATTCCAGCGCCGATGCTGAGGGAAGCGTCGGGCAGCAGCCGCACCAGGGTGGCCATCGGCCAGGCGCTCGGGGTGGGCGGGAAGGATCGGGCCGGGCGAAAGGGGGGATAGCAAAGGGGGGGGGGGAGAATCTGCTCACGAGGCTGATTTTCCCGGCGCCTACCGGCGCTGGAGGCGGCTATGTATCGAGGAATGGGCCCCTCGGTGGGGCCGAAACCAGCTGCATGCAGCAGATTTCGTAACCCCCCTTTCCCAATCCCCCCCTTTTCGTCCGGCCCGAAAGGAGGCCGCGGCAAGGCGCCGATGCACAGAGCAGGCCCAGACCTCCACCGCACTGACATCAAAAATTAGCACGGAAGCTTCTCGCCTTGCTGTGCCCCAAGGGGGCTCCGCGGCTCCGCGGGGCCCCGTGTCCGTCAAGAAGCGGCTCGGCATAAGAAGCCGGTCCCTGTGAAGGAGTCCAGACCTCTCGGGGTTTCGTCCGGCCCGAAAGGAGGCCGCGGCAAGGCGCCGATGCACAGAGCAGGCCCAGACCTCCACCGCACTGACATCAAAAATTAGCACGGAAGCTTCTCGCCTTGCTGTGCCCCAAGGGGGCTCCGCGGCTCCGCGGGGCCCCGTGTCCGTCAAGAAGCGGCTCGGCATAAGAAGCCGGTCCCTGTGAAGGAGTCCAGACCTCTCGGGGTCCACGGAGGAGGAGGAGCCGGAGAAGACGTTAGAGGACAAGGAGGAGGAGGGGGAGGAGGGGAAGAAGGAGGGGGAGGAGGAGGGAGG